AATGGCTGTAAATCTCTAATGGCTGGTTATGATGGGCGCAAAAAAGGCCATAAAAATCCGCCTGGTTATAGTAAGGAAAAAAAGTTGATAAGTATGCTGAATAAACAGGGATGGAAAGCTGGAGGAATGCAAACAAAGCAGTCTCTAATGAGATCTAGCATGGACTCTGTTAAAGCCCTGACTGGTCGTGGTCCTGCTGGGGGAAAAGTGTTAGTTCCACATGAGGCTGTTGGTGGCGAGCCGATTGACGCATGCGCTAGATTTGATGTTAGAAATTTCGTGCAAAGCAACAATTCTTTTTGTGCGACTCCGATGAACGTTGCTAATGGAACCTCGTATAGAATGCGTCAGGAAGATAACGAATCTGATTCAGGCTTAAGCAGATGTTTGATTCCGACTGGTCAAGGCAGCCTGAACAGGAAATTGGGGTCGGGCGGCTGGTCTGGCCGATACAAACGATCAAGCCCCAGTAAAGATCCAAAACGCTTGAGTAGAGGTCTATGCTGGATGGAGACAGCAACCCAAAAATTTGTGGATCCGCCAAGTAAGAATATTATGTATAGTTTGAGGGCTCAAGTAAATAGAAGGGTGGTACTGTGTATTAAATATTCTAATTAATGTAATCACATCCACTCGTATTCCTGCAATTACGGACATATATAATTTTATCAAATCGTCAGTCATAATTAAATTTTAATTTTAATTAGTGCTAAATTTTAAATTAATTATACTTACGATGATTATATTTTGAGAAAAAGTAATATAAAAATTACAATAGCAAAATATGTTATATTCACGGGTTAAACTTTTACACCAAATTGCAAATTATTTTATATTTATGGAATATATTAACCCTATTAGGAAGACTTTCATTTCGTATGAAAGTGCATGAAGATGAGATTCAAAAGTCGATCTCACCAGAAGAGGAGGCTGGATCCTGTTGTGCTGCAGCCGTCTCGCTTGCATACAACCTTAAGTATGACGCAGTCCACGAGACCTCCTCTCGCTTTTCGGATGAATTCGAGCTGAGCTTTCGTCCATCCATCTTCTTGACCTAGTTTTAACATGAGACTTTTACAAGAATGTTTTCTAGCTCTAATGTTGACCATAATATGATGGAGAAAGCTCTGTCCGTTTTCATCGGAAAATGGACAGGTCTCGTGGACTGCGTCACACTGAATGTTGTATTAAAGCCAGACGGCTGCAGTAGAATAGGATCCAGTCGTCCTCTTCTGGTGAGATCGGCCTTCGAATCTCTTCTTCATGCACTTTCATATGAAATGAAAGTCTCCCCAATATTCTCGAAACCTAGTTACTCTTCGAATATTTTAATCATCTTTCTCTTAAGTTGGTGGAGGACTGGTAGTTGAATTCCATATTGTCTTAAATAATACAGTTTCGGGCAAACAGTTTTTTTACATTGTTATAGAAAACCTTTCTTGATACTTAATCGCTCTACAATGGAATTTTTCTTTTTCAACACTAATATGCTTGCTACAGAAAGGTAATCTGCAACTCTCACCTTGCTCAGACTTTGGCAGGTTACGTATCAAAATTGGCAATCAGGCCATCTGATTATCTGAATACACTGCCTTTTCCCACAAGATCTGTATCGTTTCCTTAGGTTTTACCTCACATGTGAGTGCTGATGAGTGAGGAATCTTGATTTTCTCTGCAAAATAACTCAAATATGGTTCATTGGAAGTACACTACTTCACTAACATGCATTATGTTTTATTTTATGATGTCGCTATTGCTTTATATTGCAGATAAACAAATTGCAAGCCTTATCAAAATTTTTAAGCAGTTATTTATTGAATTATTTGAGATGTATTCTATTTCGTTTAAGATAATGAAGGACTGGTAGTCGAATTTTCCCACAGTGATATGAGTCGAGCTGATGATTTCCATTAAATTTCACATAGCTATACTTTCCCAAAGTTGTTCTTATCCAGGATGGACTGCAGTTTCGACCTCGCCTAGGTCTTATCCACAACCCCAGCGGGAGTCGAACCGTGGCAGTGTAGCTTGACACGTTAACCGTTCGGCCACATTGCGACGAGCGACCTTGAGTCAGAGAGCAGATGTGGAGTTCATGGAAGGCCAGGCCTGTCCTCATATCACATCCTTTGGTGGGATTGCCGATGAAACAAACGTATTTTTACTATAACAATTAAGGAATTTTCGATAGATTGAATATTTTTCTTAGAAATTTAACTTTCCTTTTAGGTGCGTAAAATTTGTACAAATCTTATTATCGATCATATGGAGAAGACAACAATAAAGCACTATATATGGAAGTATGCTAGATAAATTTCGTAAGCTTTATCATAGATCAAAATGGTCACTTAAATGATTTAAAGTGCTTAACTTGGGGTTTTAGTTTCCTTAGAAATTTCATCATGTTTACTTTATCTTGCTTAAGAAGCTCTCATTCTAAGAAGAGAAACTGCCCATCGTAAAATATAGTTTGATGACATTTTTTAAAAGTTAAGGAATAGTCCACTTTAAATATATATGGGTGATGAGGCCATCAAAATAATATATACTACCACCACAAGACTTGTTGATATTCTGTACTGACAAATATACTTTGAGTATATCCTTTATCTAATAATCCTAAACAGCATATTACAGTACACTTGATTTATCAGTAATGTTGTCGGATAGCTATCTGAATCAGTCTTTAACTTCAAAATATTTCTAATTAAAAAAATCTCTATTTAATAATAATGTCAAATATACTTATCACAAGCTTCTTATCGATCACAACTTGATTGTAATTAAAGGATTTCGTGGATGTCTTAGGCATCGGTATCTCTGAAAAAATGAGTTCCATATTGTCTCTTAAATACAAAAAAATAAAGATTAATTATATTACCATGGTTAATAGTGCAATCGTTTTGCAACATTAGAATTTCCTGGTACAGGAAAGGGCTTAAAACGCATGCCTTCATAATTTATTATGTTTGACTAGAATAGAAGTAGGAGCGTAATGAATATGACACATAAACCTATGCTTTCGACTCAGGGGAATGTGGATAACATATGACGTAAATTCTACGTTGCATCCTTTCCATAAAAAAACCTTTGGCATAAGTTTCATAGTACAGTTCAATGGTAAAATTTAAGTATTTTCTTTATTTAATTGAAGAACGTAAGCCTAAAAAATTCAAATCCTTACTGTTTATATCAAAGTAATAATGTAAGGATATTTTATTATAGTTAACTCAAGCCCTGGTTATACGTTTTTAAGCTCCCTGAAATTTAGTCCTTATGCTAGCATTTTCGCATAAGAAGAAAAAAAGATAGAGGTGTGGAATTATTTTTGTTAATTTACTGTCACTGTTTATAATTTTACAGGTACTCCACCAACTTGAGTTGACTTAAGAACTGAAAGATAAATTTCACACAATGAAATAAGAAAAGCTTATGATATAATCCAAATAAATTTAGTTTTACCATTAAAAAGGCGTTCTAGTCTAAAGCGAACCGTAATATCGAAATGCCTATGTTCTAGCCCTTCCATTGATTTGCAAATTGGTAGAGCTTCTTTAACTATAACTTAATCACCTAGACAGCCACTCATTTTAATCAATGATATCAGAACACAGGTATGAACTTTAATCACTGATCCTAGGGTTATTTAGTGTTTGCCCACTTTTAGTATTTGCAGAAACAACACAGCTTTACCAATATTTAATGTTCCATCGTTTTACTAAAACAAAAGGATAAACGATGTAAGGCAACTCAAGTATTGGCTAATAACCATATTTAACTTTTTGATTGAACAATGAAACTTTGGCTTATTTCTCTTTAAATGTTATCGCAAGATACTAAGCTTACTATACGTTATTATTAACTAACAAAATTATATTAGATCCCACTTATTCAATTAAGTTTATTCGCATGACCTCGAAATTGTGCACGATATTTCATTTCTCTAATTAGATATGGTAGTCAAACCGAAAAATCTCCAAATCAACTCACTTTATCTATTGTAAGCCAATGATTTTCTGACTAATAATAGGAATATTTTTTTAGGACCATAATAAATATGCATGGATGCAACTTTGTCTTCTCTTAAAATAATTTTTTAAATCTATAGAATAATATGAGTCCTTTATTTTATTGCACCTTAAACTACGATTACTTTTATACATAAGAAAGTAGGGTTTCGAGACTACCAGTAAATCATTGTAATGAGATGTATTCACCCTATTTCG